GGCTGCGGTTGTTATTAAAGCCCCGGTGCTGCCCGCTCGCCTCCATCTCTGAGTGCCGCCGCATCCGGCCCCGACGGGGCCGCCCCAAACTCGCAGCCAACCCCTCCCCCGGGCCTCGGTCATCGCCGCCCAGGGTGGAAGGGGCTCGCTTAGGTGCGAGACGCCACGGTGAGGGGCACCGCGGGCCGCCCCTCCGCATCCCCACGGGCCGCCCCGTCCGGGGCTGCCGTGCAACCCGGCGCTCCCAATGCTCAAGCACGACCGCAGCGCTGCCCCGGGGGCTGCTCCCCCGACCCTCATCCCCTCATCCCCGTCCCGGCCTTGATCGCCTTCACCCCGGGCTGCCACCCCCTGCCCGGGGCGCCGGAAGAGCGTGGAGAGCCCGTCGAGGAGAGCCCGAGTCAGCGCGTCGGCACCTTGGCTCTAGACTGCTTACTGCTGCGTAGGCGACAGGACAGTAACAGTCTACAGTCATGGCTACTGAAGCATGACCAAGCGCCGCACCGGCCCCGCCGCACCGCAGCGCCGGCCCCGCAGCGCGGGGGGCCCGGGGGCGCCGCCGGGGCGGGGGAGGTAGCGGCCCGGCGGGGCCCGGGAGGCGGCGGCGGCGGGAGCTGTCCCTAGTGCTGAGCCGTCGGGGAGCGCCGAGGGGGCGGTCCCGGGGCCCGCCTCACCCCGCTCTCTCTTTCCCCTCCCGCAGACGCGGAGCCCCCCCAGCGGCGGACGCCCCCGCGGCAGCCCAGGTAGGGGGGAAGCCCCCGCGGCGGGGCGGACACGCGTGGGCCCGCGGGAGGGCCGGGGCAGCGGGGCGGGGGTGGCGACAGGGACAGACCCCCCTCCCCCCCGCTCCGCGCCCCGACTCCGCGCCCGGGGGGGCGCGCTCGCCGCCGCGGCGGGGCCGCCTCCTCGCCATCACCAAGGCCCCGGCTGCCCCCCCGGTTCCTCGACGTCGCCCGGGCGACCGTGGCTTTAGATTGTTACTGTGCTGCTGTCGGGGGTAACAGTCTACAGCCATGGTCGCCGGGCCCGGCGCACTCGCATCGCGGGCAGCACCGCCCCCTCGACGGGCACCGGCAGCACAGGAGCCCCGATCGTAGCCCGGCGCGACACCGGGGGGCCCGGGCGGGCGGGCAGCGCTGCCGTCGGGGCTCGTGCCGCCTCCCGGGGCAGTAGGAGCTCACATGCAGGGTGCAGCTCGCCGCACATCAACTCTTACTGTTCGGGGAGGGCGGGCGCGGCGGCGGCTCCTCCTCGGGCACCGGGCAGAGCGGCCGCGACACCAGGTCCCCCCGCCGCGGGCTCCGCGGGCAGCCCCTCACCTGCTCTCCCGGTCCCCTCGGCCGGGCCCGCGCTCCGGCGCCTCCCGCCGCAGCTGGAAGCGCTTCCCGGCGCCGGGAAGCGCCCTGGCAGCGCCGGCCCCCCTCGCCGTCCAGGGTCCGGCCCCGAGGAGCGCCGGTTCCCGCCCCGCGGGGCCGCGCTGTGGCGGGTAGCGGGGGAGCCGGGACGAGTCTCCGCCGGTCTCGGAGCGCGGCCGGCACTGAGCCCGGCCCGACGGGACGCGCTGCGGCGGGCGGGGACCGAGGGCGGTCGCAGGTTGCACAACCCGCCCGGCGCCGCCAGGAGATTCCTGAGCGGAGAAGTCAGAGCGGCCCGGGCTGCCCCAGCACCGGGCACCGGGCCCTGGGCAGCCGGCAGCGACCGGAGCCGGCCGGGCTCGTCCGAGGGAGCCGCGTCTCAGCCACCCCGGGGTGCTGTGGGGGCAGAGCCACCCCTGGGGGGTGGAGGGAGCTGGAATGGGGGCACAGAGCCCGGGGTGGGGGTTAGGACTGGACATGGACCCCATTGCAGGGGGTACAGGGAGCTTCGTCCTCACTTGAGGCCAGCGCCAGGCCCCAGAGCTGCTCAGCTCGTTGGTGGCAGCTTTTGTGGCCACCTGCCCAGCCCCTCTGCCTCGGGTGCTGGCCTGTCCCCCCACCTCTATCTCAGTGCCCAGGCCAACCCGACCCACCTGGGACTGCATGACCCCAGCCTGATGCCACCGTGCAGGGGGTCCCCAGGTGCTGCAGAGGGGCAGCCCATCACCCAACCACCCTCCTGTCCCAAAAAGAAACCTCAGTTCCCAAGTCCACGGAGCCCAGCGGCAGCCGCGTCGCAGCAGGTCCAAGGCATGGCGCCAGCTGAAGGCTAATCCCAAAACACTGTCCCAGCTCATCCCTGCAAGGACACCCGGCCCTGCCAGGCGTGGGGCCATGTCCCGGGAGCAGCCGGCACCTGGTCTGTTCGGTTGCCCGCGCTGCAGCCCTGGGAACACGCAGGGCTGCTCTTCCGAAAGCCAAGGCTCTCGCGCCGACACGCTGCAAATAATCTGTCTTCCGAACGAGTCCTTAAAAATATCCTGCATTTGCTGACACTGGAACTAGGCTTCCGACACTTCTCCAAGTGCCTGGGCCTCGGGCCAGATGTCGATGCCGGCGGATAAAAAGGCCGTGCAGCTCCTGTGCTCCCCTCCGCCGCAGAGCACGGGGGAGCAACGCGGAGCTGCCCCTGCCCTGCCCGTGGCTGAGCTGCTCTTGGCTCTTTGGATGCCAGGAAGGTGCTGGTGCCATCCCTGCCCAGGTGCCCGGCTCAGGCTGTGCAGCCTTGGCCTCGCGCGCCGGGATGTGCACGGCAGCTTGTGGCACGGCCACGAGGCTCCACGATAACTCCCAAGAAGCCCCAAACCTGGCACCGGGCTCTACCCTGCCTTGTTGGGAAGCCCCCCGTTCCCAAGCCGCCCTCCCTCCCGTACCCCACGGGCGGCTCTTGGCCAGGGGCCACCTCACGGCCCCCACGCGGTGGGAGCATCGCGGGCGCCGCGGGTGGCCGAGCGTCCCGGGAGCCGCCGTCCCTCGGCGCGGGCCCCGCGGCTGCCTGCGGCACACGCTGTTGTTACCAGCTGACAGCTCCTGGCAAAACGGCCTTTGTGATTCAGTCGGGTGTTTATCCCAGCCAGCAGCCCGGCCCAGCGTGGGTTTCCATGGAAAACTTCCATCAAAAACAAGGAGGAAAGGAGCTACAGCAGGAATGACTCAGCCACAACTGGAAGCTTCTGCGGGTGAAGCGAGCAGGGAGGGGGGCGATCCCGCGAGCCGGGGGGACCGCGGGTCCCGCTGCCCGGCGCCCCGCGGGCTGCAGCGCCTGCCTCTCCATCCCCAGCCCCCTGCCAGTGCTCCCGGCAGGGAAAGGAGGGACGGAGCAAGGCTCGAATCCCAGCTCCCCGTGCTGGGTCCAGTGGGATTGTGGAAGCTGCCGCCCGTGCCCGGCAAGGCCTCATGTGGAGGAGGCTGGAGGAGCAATGGGCAGGGGGAGCGGGAGGCTCGGAGCAGGCAGGGGGCTGCGCAGAGGCAGCGGTGCTGCTGGCACCCGTCCTGCCAGCCCCTCCTGGGCTTCCATCCCCCTTTCCACAGCGCCCTGGGCTCCGGGAGAGCCGCTCCGCACACTGCTGGGGGGCACGGAACTGCTCCCGGCCCCACAGGGTGGTGGGAGAGCCAGTGGGGAAGAGACTCCCTGGACACGTCTGGCTGAAGCCGGGGAACTCGGCCCGTCCTTCCCGCGGGCTCCCAGCCCAGGGCTATCCCCTCCCGCCTGTTTTCCTGCCTGCGGAGCTCGCGGACGAGGGCTGCGTATTAAGGAAGCGAGCGCTGGGAAGCGCGAGGGGGCGGGGGCAGCGGCACGGCTGCCTCTGCGGCTGCCGGAGCCGGGCAGCCGGTGGGGACCGGCACGGCAGCTCCGGGACACCCTCCTGTCCGCCAGGACTCGCTGGGACGTCCGTGGGAGCCGCTTCCCTCCTCCGGCCGGAGCAGGTGCCCGCGGCGCCTCTCTTTGCTGCTCACAGCACAGAAGGGTCAGATTCTCCGCGTTTTATTATGTTGTTCCCACTGATGCTCATGAGAGCAGGAGGCAGCTTTTTAACCCCGCTGGGAACAGGGTGAAGCTGCAGCCCCCCAAAAAGCCCCCAGATTTAGGTTACCCACCCCTAGAGGCTCGACAGGAGCTGCCCAGCGCTGCTGTCGGGAGCGAGCGGGGCCCGTGGTGACTATCAGCCCGTCCTCATCACTCACCCGCGCGCGCGGGGGCTCCTCTGCAGCGGCTCCTGCGAGCGGGGACGACGGGCTGCAGCTCTGCAGTCACTGAAGGGCTAACGGCACCGGCCGCCGCTCTGCCTCCCTCCGCGGCGCGACAGCTCGAGCGGGGCTCACAGCGAGGCCCCGGTGCGGTGGCACCCGCGGGGTTAAAGCGCTGGCTGCAGAGCCTGGCACTCAGCCCTCGCGCTGCAGCTCCCCCGAGCCTCTCTGCCCCTCAGCCCTCCCTCCCCGGCCTCTTGGGACATGTTTGAGGGCCCTGGCCACGCAAGCGCCACACAGGGAGGACCGTGGCTGCCTCCCCCCGTGCTGCCCCTTGCAGCCTCCCCCACAAGGCCAGAGCTGCAGCCCCCCTCCCCGAGAGCGGCCTCCGGCTCCAGTCACAGTGACCCACACGTGACAGGCAGCCGGTGCCTCCGCGTCAGCCGGGCAGGCACGAGGCAGAGGCAGCGCCGCCCGCGCGCGGCTCTGACGCAGCCCGGCGGGCGCCGTGAGTCAGCCCCACGACACGGCAAAGCCGCCGGCGGCCTCCGGAGCGGGGAGCGCCGCCTCCGGGGCCGGGAACGCGCCGCCGAGGAAACCAGCCGCCTGCCCCGGCCCTCTGACGCGCGGATGCTTAAGCAGCAACAAGCCAGAGGGCAAATCCGACACAAGTGGAAAGCGCTTCCTCGTGCTCCACTAGCCCCAACTCGCAGCACTTCTCCAGCCTGCTCGTGGGTGACTACAAAGCGCTTCCACCTCCCGCTCCAGCCTCGGGAGCTCGGGAGCACCCGGCACCTTTGCTCTGGCAGGGGGCACACGGTGCCCAGGGCTGCTCTCCAGGCTGGAAGCTGCCGCGCAGGAGCAGGGATTGGGGAAATTTCTCTTTTCTAATCAATTACCTCGCACTGCAGCACTAAGCAAGAGGGTCACTGAAGAGAAGCCCTTAGCACGAGAGCTCTGAAACACCCCCGGGCTGCAGATGCAAGAGCCTGGACTAGAGCAGCCCCGAGCAGCGCCAGGAGCAATAACTACAGCAAGAGCCACCAGCAGCTCCGGGTGCTTTCGGCAAACACAGATACCAGGAAGGAGGGGGAGCTGAGATTTCTTTTTTACTCTCATCTTCTGTTCATGAAGACACTTCATACAGAGGAAGAGAGAAGAAACCTCTCAAGTGGCGTGAGCTCAAGCAGCACAAACACTTTATTCCTCCTAGGAAAAGAAAAAGCAGCCCCAAAACAGCCCTGGCACTGCCAGGGGAAAAGAATAACCCTAAACCGAGCCCAGCTGCAAGGTTGCCTTGACACTTTCCACAGGGGAAGATTATATATATATAGATAAATATATATATATATTTATCAAAACTTTGAAGTAGAAAAGCCCCAAGAGCTGTGTGCTCCGCAGTCATTCCCTTTGGATAAGGCAGGGGCTCTACCTTTGGCTGCCCAAGCTTCCCAAAACCCCCAGCACGTAACAGGCAGAACCATGTCACCTTCTCACTCTCAAACTCTTATTTTTTCACCAAATTGGAGAAAGAAAAATAAAAAAAAGACCCAAAAGGGCAGTTTTGCCTGGCTTTGCATTAACACTGCACAGGAGGAGAGCAAGAGCACCAGGCCCTTGTTGCAGGCGCCGAGCAGAGGGGCAGGCAGAGCCTCCGACCCGACGGCTGCGTGTGCTTCACGGGAGCCCCGTTACGGCTGCTGTCATCACACAGCCCCGGCCCCCTGCGCGCGGGGCTGGCCCTGCGCGGGCTGGAAGCACTCCAGGAAGTCCAGGTAGCCCTTCTTCTGCGGCGCCGCCGCCGGCACGAAGTGCCCGCCGGGGTGCTCGAGCACCACGGGCTCCACGAAGCTCCGCGCCAGCTCCCAGCTGAGCTGGGGGGCGATGACGGCGTCGGCGCGGCCCACGACGTGCAGCGTGGGCAGCGCGATGGGCTGCCGGTAGAAGGCGGCGTGGGCGGGCGCGCGGCTGGCGAAGCCGGCCACGAGCACGGCGAAGGCCACGGGGAAGCGGCCGTCGCCGGCGGCGCGCAGCGCGCACGCCATGGCGGCCAGCGCGGCGCCCTGGCTGAAGCCCAGCAGCCCGTCGAAGGGGCCGTGCTCGGCCAGCGCCGCCGCCACGGCCGACAGCGACTCGTCCAGCCCGTCGGGCGCCGCCGCCTCCTCGCGCGCCTCGAAGGTGCCGGGCCCGGAGAACCACCAGGCGCGGGGGTCGTCGTCGCTGTCGCCATCGCCGTCGGGCACGCGGTGCGGCGCGCTGAGGGTGACGAGCTCGGCGCGGCCGCGCAGGGCCTTGCGCAGCGCCCCGGTGCGCTCGCGGAAGCGCCGCTCGTTCTGCCGGTAGCCGTGCAGGCCGAGCAGCCGCAGCGGCCGCCGCTCCGACATGGCGCCCGCCATCAACCGCCGCCCGGAAGCGGCCGCCTGCGGCTCTTCCGCCGCTCGGCCTTCCCGCCCGAACGCCGCGCGCTCATTGGGCGGCGGGACGGGGCGGGGCCAGGCGCGCGCCCTCCTCTCGGTGTCGGGGCGGGGCGGCGCCGCGCGCCCCCTGGCGGCGGGCGGGCGCGCAGCAGCGGCAACGGCTACGGGCGGGCGGCGGCGGCGGGGGGGGCGGCCGGGGGGTCCCCAGGCCCGGGCTGCGGGACGGGGGGACACGGGCGTCAGGCCCGAGTGGGCTGCACCGGGGCGGCCACCCCCCTCCCCTCCCGGTGCAGCGCCCGCGGGGTTCGTGGAGCGCACGGGAGCCCCGCGGGGTCTGTCCCGTCCAGCCGTGCGCCCAGATGTGCGCCCCGATGTGCATCCCAGCCCGGCTGCGTGGCAGGGACCCCCTCCCCAGGCTGCACGGGTTTGTCCCGTCCAGCCGTGTGCCCCGATGTGCACCCAGATGTGCATCCCGGCCCGGGCTGCGCGGCAGAGCCCCCCTCCCCACACTGCAGCGCGCCGAGGGGGCTCAGCCCAGAGCTGTGCGAGGGCCAGATGTGCGCCCAGATGTGCGCCCTGCCAGGGATGTGCACCCAGATGTGCGCCCTGCCAGGGCCGCTGCCTGCTGGTGCCGGTGCCTCGTAGCCCCGGGCCGGGCAGGTGCCACACGGTGGCGCTTTGGGCACGCGGCTCTGGCCACCCGGGGGTCTCAGCACCGCAGCCGCCAGCCAGGCGACAGAGGGGACCCCTCCGCTCGGCTCAGCGCCACCCCCGAGGCTGGGCCAGCCCCTGCCACCGCAGGACGCGCTGCCCACCTGAGCTGGCCGCCCGGGGCGCTGGTGGCTGCTGTGGTTGGCGGTCCAGGGCCCCAGGGACTGGCTGGCGTAGAAGTCCATGGGGTAGGTCTGCTGCCACTCGACCTCCTGGAGCGCCACGGCCGCCTGCGGAGCAGGGCACGGAGCTGAGGCCTGGGGGGGGGATTTGGGGCTCCCCGCCACCCCCCGAGGGCCCCGCACCTCGTAGGGCGTCAGCAGCGGCTTGCTGAAGGCTTCACCCCAGTCGATGGAGAGCCGGGGACAGGCTATCTGCACCCACCTGCAAGGGAAGCACAGGGCCACGCTCATCCCTGCCCAAGCGGAGGGGGATGAACCATGGTGAGGAGGTCCCTGCCCGACCACGCTCACGTCCCCAGTGCCCAACCGTCTGCCACGGGTGGGCAGTGGGAGTCCACAGATGTCCTGGGCAGTGTGGGTTGTGTGTGCCAGTGCCCATGCAGGACACGCGTGGCACGGATGCATCTGGACAGCCCCAAGGATGTGGCCTTGATGTCTGCAGCCCGGGACTCGCAGTCCCAGCAAAGCTCTTCGTTCCCACCATCCTGAGGGCATCCTGGCAGCCAGGAGCCTCAGGACACCATGGGCAAGAGGCTGAGACACCCTCCGCGACAGTAAATCAGAAACGGGGGGATCTAAATTCAGCCCATTCCCAAATCCCTGGAGGCCTCACAGTGAGGGAGGAGGCTGCGGCGGCCACCTCGGGGCTTCCATAGGGAGGCGGGAAGCAGATGCCGGAGGTGCAGGTGCTGCCGGGGCTGCAGGCACCCTGGGGACACCAGCGCGCAGAGGGCGGACGCGGGGAGGCGGCACTCACGCGTCCACGTCAGCGAAGAGCTGCAGCTTGCTGGGGAAGATCTCGGAGAGCAGCACGCGCACGAAGGGGCGTCCCAGGGCGCGGAGCCGCGACTCCAGGTGCTGCAGGAGGCAGAGCACCCAGCGGGGTGAGCACAACAAGCTGATGTCCCTGGCACGGCGCTTCCCAGCCCAGGAGGCAGCAGGGTCCTGCCTGCAGCACCGGGCATGTCCTGGAACCCCAATTGCACCCACTGAGCCCCCAGGGACAGACAAGGTGACAGAGCCAGATCCCTCAGCAGCCACTCCTGTGACCAGGGCTGCCCCTCACATGCTGCTCCTCCCCATGTGCCATGGCCTAATGAAGTAATTACCGCTCAATGACAACAATCTGTTCTCGTTAGCGGCTCCCTCCTCCGGCCTCTCGCCTGCAGCAGCCTCGGGAGGCCGTGGAAAGGAAGCGGCCAGCCGGGGAGCTGCCTGCTCCGCTCCTGCCCTCCCAAGCTGTCATTAACTGCCCCCTGCTCGGCCATCCCCCAGGTTGAAGGTGTCCCCGGGTGCAGGCGAGGGGCGGCGGGTACCTGCAGGATGCCGGGGGAGCCCTGGCGCCCCAGGGTGCCCAGGATGAGTCCCCAGCAGCGGGCGCCGGCGGCGCGGCGGATGGCGTCCTGCCGCGCGCGCTGCATGCGCTCGTGGCCGTAGTGCTCCTGCGAGAAGACCTTGCTGTAGGGATCGTACCTGCAAAGGAGACCTGGGTCAGCCCGTCCTGCCCCCCATCACCCCCTCCAGCTTGGGGACCGGCTGAGGGGGATGCCAGGGTCGTGTTCCCAGTGCAGCCCCTGGTGGAGCCCAGGCCACTCGCTCTGCTCCGCGCTCAGCTCCCCCCTGCCAGCTCATCAATTATGAAAAAATCTTTGATTTGTTGCTTTGTTTGACGAGGGGAATTTTAATCAAATCCCACTCGGGTTTCGGCAGCTTCCCCAGCGCCATAAACCTGACGCGCGTCTCCCGTTAGTAACAAACGACCTACTAGGAAATTCAGATTTCGCCAAATGGGCCCTGCCTTTCGCTCTTGATATTTCATCTGCTTTCAGCAGCCTCATCATCACGCTTTATGGCCTCAGCCTGCAGCAGCTGGGAGTTTAATGGCTGCACCTCAAAGAGCTTTCACAGGTACTTGTCAAAATGTTTATATTCAGCCCGAGTAAATGGCTGGTGTTCATCTCGTGGAGCGCGGCGCCCCTTGGCACCTCTCCACCAGCCTGCCCCTGCGCTGCGGCTCTGCCGGGCCACCCGGGCATGCAAAGGGAGAGCTGCAAGGTGCCAGCTCAACCCGTGTCCCGCGATGCCACGGCTGTGGGGCTCTTAGGGAAAGCAAGAGGCGCTTGGGAAGCGGGCACCGCGCGGCGCCGTACCTGTAGGCAGGGATGCCCGGGTTGGCGATCATGACGGACTCCAGGTGGAAGCGCCCGTCGCCCAGGTACCTGCAGGGAGGAGAGGCAGCGCGGGGGCACCAGGGTTAGCACCGCAGCGGGGACAGGCGGCGGCTCCGGGGCTCCCAAGGGCACCCGGCGCAGCGGGGGTAGCGCCCGGGAGCTGCTCCATTGCTACAGCGGCCTCGAGACGTTGCTGCTTCCATTTCTAATCGGATTTCAAGTCAGCAATTACATTTCAAAGCCTTTCATTCAGCTGCCCTAATGGAGTGAGGGCTTGGAAAATGAATTCAGACGTAAAACTTGACTAGATTTTGCCCTTAATTGGAGAATGACATTTTGGAAGATCAAAGCTAATTTGTCTGCAAAAGTTAGCCCTAGAGACGGGCTAAATAAGAAAATAATAACGAAGGAAGGAGCAGCAGGAGGCTGCAGGTATGGTGGCAACGTGCACCTGCCCGGGTGGCAGGGAGGACACTGCCACCGTCCCCAGTGAGGGGACAGCGAGGCCGGGAAGAAGCCACGGGCACCCATGGGAGCCTGGCCTGGCTCCCTCCATGACCTTGGAGACAGATGGTTCCTTCCTTGCTCCTCGCTTCCTTCCCTGTTCCCCGCTTCCTTCCCTGTCCTCCACGTGGCTATGAGGAACCTTGGGAGACGGGAAGCAGGAGACGCGCCATGCAGTTGTCCCAGGGAAAGCTCATCCCGCTCCTTCCCTCTCCCTAGGGAAGGGCCCCCTGGCAGGGGGCTCCCCAGCTCCCCCCAAGGGTGGGGTCCGCGTATTTATTTATTCGGCAGCGCGCTGCATTCACAGTACATTAAGCATTTCCATTACCTAAAATAATTAGGTGATAGGAAGCGAAGTGCTCCCTCTAATTTGCTGTCCTTAAATAAAATTAATGTTGCTGTGATGTTGGGCCCCGGCCATTTGTCTTTTCCAATTATCCACCCGCCCTTCCATCTATTATCTATTCTGATATACGACTCAATTATTTCCTCTGGGCTCCGAGCAGGAGTCACTCCAAGCAGGAGTCACTCCGAGCAGCGCTGCGGGGCATCTGTCCCGTCTGCTCCTGCCCCTCGTGCCACCTGCAGCATGTGGGGACACCAGCAAGGCCACGGCGCAGCGGGATGGCAGAGGGCATGAACAGGGGGAGCACTGTCCACCCGGCCGTTGTCCCAAGCACGCTGGGTGCTGCTGATGTTCCCTGCGGGTCTGCGGTGCTGCGGAGGGCTGAAGGGCTTTGGTGCTGAGCACCGACACAGCTCAGCACCATGGAGCTTTTCCACAAGGCACACGGGGAGAGGAGATGCGGCGTGGCGTGAGCAGGGGGACAGCGATGGAGGGGAGCCCGGGTACTCACACGATAGCGTCCGTGTCCTGCGCGAGCCGCGGCGCCGTGCAGCCCAGGACCTCGCCGGGGGACAGCGGCTTGCACTGGGGCACACACACCTTGTACTGGGAGCGCAGCTCCTGCGCGGCCGCCTGCGGAGAGCACCCGTGTCAGGGGACGGCTGGGCAAGAGGGACTAGGCATGAAGCACCCGAAACTCAGCTCTTGGCCGAGCAGCAAAGGCCTGGGACCCTCCAGTGACCACGGGGGCATTGCCGTGTCCCTGGACCTGTCACATATTCCCAGGGTGCCTGCAGTGATGGCCTGGCCACAGCGCCTGCAGCATCGAGTTGGTCAGCTGGGCATCGTGGATGGAAACGGCCCTGCAGAGGAGAGCCGCGTTGCGGGGCTCAGACAACATATCAATTAAAATACAAGAGAAAACGCTTAACGCTTCAACAGCGCCCTGTTTAGATAGACGTGGCTCAAGAGGCTCATTCATCTCCTCCCATCCTGGCCTAATGGCCATTCAGGAAGCAGCGGCCGGAGCCGCCGGAGCTTCCCCTGCCACTGCCGGCACTGCATCAAAATGCCAAGTGCTCCAGCGCCTGCCCTGACATTTACGGAGCAGCCCCCGGGGGAGTCGGGGAGGGGTGCCACCACGAAACATCGATCACAGTTATTATAAAGCACTTGATCAACATTACGGTGGCAGCATTATTAGCGCCGCTACTCATTAGAGGGGAACCACCGCCACCGGCAAGGCGGGAGCGCAGAGTTCCTTGGTGACACCGGTGCCCCTGCTCACCCCCGTGCAGGGCCACGGCGCGGGGCTGACACGGAGCGGGGCTGCCCAAGCCTGGTCCTGTGTCCCCTTAGTAGCCTGTGCCCACGTGGGACCGGCTTGCTGGGACCACGGGGCTCCTGTCTCACCTGCAGCGCGGACACGAACTGGATGGTGCTGACGAGGGCCAGCGAGGCGCCCGCGGCGAAGTTGTAGCGCACGGTCTCGAGGAAGTGCGACGTGTCGATCTTGATGTCCACGAAGACGTAGAGCATCTTCAACCCTTGCGTGGCGTCGATGGGAACTGGAGACGAGGGAGAGACAGGAGTAAGGAAAGGCCCCACTGGCACCCTGGGCATCGGGACAAGCCCCACACAGACACCCAAGGTCCAAGCAAGGTCCTGGAATGGTCCCAACAACTGCCCTATTCTGAGCCACTTCCCGACCAGTGCCTCTTCCTGCTCACCTATTGCTCCTCACTCATTTCTGCTGGTGGATGCACGCATTGGCAGTGCACTAACCGGGCTGGGAAGGGCTGTGCCACCCCTGCGCCCGTGCTGTCACCCCAGGCTCCTGCAGCCGGGCAGGGGACGCAGCTGTGGGGAGCAACCGGTCACCTCTCGCTGGATAATGGCAGCCCAGGGAATCAGTGAACACAAATCTAATTACCCTCGGTGCTAAGAAGCCTGTGTCACCACGATTAAGTGAATAATTAAAGTACACAGAGTCTGCATCGATCCACAGCTCCACATTCACTTCCCATTTTGGGGCTCTTCACCTGATCACAATTAAGTGCAAATTACTCCCTTCTGCAACACGGAGCCGGACAGGGCAGGAGAGGGAAAGTGCCTTTCCAGGGAAGCAGCCCCTTGGCCAGGCAGGAGCCGAGCGCTGCCCAGGCTCCGTGGCCGCCCCGGGAGCACGAGGGGCAGCAGGGCCAGTCCCACATCCAGCCTGGCAGTGCCCGCCTTTCCCTGCGGCACGGCAGCTCCGGCACACGCAATTCCCGTCCCCCGAGAGCAGCCGCCGGCACCTTGTTCTGTGTGCCGCTCCTGAGCATCGCTGCCATGGGCCTCCTTCCTCCCCTCCTTGCTGTTAATTAATCTAATAGCAGGCTACAAAGCCGGGGGTTTTTATGGCCGCTGTTTCAGCGGTGCCCGTAACTCTCCCTTCTGTACCAAAGCACCAAGTGGGGATATTTATCACCGCGAACGCTCGCGCTGACACGGCTTTTGGGACACAGCTCTCAACTGGTAACTCGGTACTTCACACGGAGCGTGCTGCAATTCATAAAGCCTTTTTAAAGAGCCCCATAAACACCCGAAGGCTTCTCCATCCCTATGAGGACCTGCGGGGTCCCCGACACCCAACACGGGCAGGGACACAGGGTGCCAGGAGAGCCGGCCGGCCCTGCGGCCCCGCAATTCTGCCGATCCACCTTAAAACCCGTAGTGTCTTATTGTTATTTTTGGGCTGATTCCATCCTGGGTGGACTTCAAAGTTAGCAGCATCTGGGACAGCAGTGCAGTTTCCATGGCAACGGAATCCAGAGTACCGTTCCGCCTAGGGAGCCGCAGCCTCCTCCTCCTCCTCCTCGCCTTGGAAGGAGGCGCCGCGCCGGTGAAACGAGTGGCCCGGCCCCGCGCCGGAACGGGGGGTGCCCATCGACCCCCCGAGCACCCCACAAGGGGCCCATTCGGGTCCCCCACGGAGCCAGAGGTCTTCATGGATGTTGCTCCCCTTCCCGGTTGCGTTTGACCTTGTTCCCGACATTGTGAGCTCCAGGGGAGTTTTCCCTGAGCTGTGTTTCCCACTGGCTGCTCCCAGGGAGTGGTGGGGTATGAATGCGCCCTGGCTGCTTGCCCCATTTCGGGAATGCTCCCAGGGGGTGCCCAGGACTTGGGTCCAGAGCAGGACAGAGCCCCACAGCCCCACATAGGCACCGGGAAGCAGCTCCGCATGGCTGGATGTTCCCAAACCCTGCTGGCGGGCAGGGAACCGGCAGCCCACCCCGTCCAAATAAAGCAATCAAGGCTGGAGAAGAGAAATCCCTTCTTAAAGGGATTAGCGCTCAGCGCTGAGCACTCGAGCTGGCATCAAGCGTGCCAGGGAGCCCCGGGGCCGGCCGGAGTCAGTGTCACCAAGCAGGGCTTCCCCCAGACAGCGTGGCCGAGGTCAGCGCCTCCGCACGCCGAGCGGCCACCGCCGGGATGCCCCGCGCTGCCAGGGATAGGGACACGGCGCCGGGACGGCCGCCCGCAGAGCAGGGTGCCCACGGCTGCCCGCGCCGCTGGGTCACCTACTGAGGCAGCTGTGGCCGTAGTGCACGAGGAAGTCAGCGCCCAGGGCCTTGGCCGTGTAGTCGTCCACGCAGCAGGCACCGTAGGTCACGTCGCCCATCACAAGCGCCTCCGCTCCCGTGAACCTGTGGGGAGGCAGCGCGGTGAGGCCGGGCGCAGCTCCGCGCTCCGGTGCTGCCGGCGGGGCCCCCAGGGCCCTCGTGCCGGAGGGGCCCCCGCGCCGGCTCGGAAGCCGCTGAGCACCGGCTACTCTCGGAGATGTCAACATGATTAAACTGGAGAGAGGTAATCCGCCTCTTCAATTGGGTAAAGCTGTTTGCAATTCAGCGGATTATCCGCTCGTCAAATAATATGCCGCCAGCTTCCTAATGCACCAGGAGGGAGAGGAGGCCGCGGGAAACGCGGCACCTTCAGCCTCACCGGCTGGCCCCAGGCACGGCAAGCGGCTGCCTCGCTCCTCCGAGCGGCTCCGGGCAGCGTGGGAGCCAGGGTGCCCCATCCCAGCCGCAGCGGGTGGCACTCGGGGTGGAAAAACACCCTGTGCGCACTGAAACCAGCCCAGGCCTTGCTCCCGTGCGGGTGCCAGAGCCACACGGATCATTCCCGCAGCTCCCGTTGGCTCCCGGGCCCCACGCTGGCACCCACGTGCCCACGGTGGGTGCATGGCGGCAGCCCCGGCACGGGCAGATAAGGCCGGGGCACCCACCTCATTTAGAGGTGGCACCTTTGTAGCTGTTTTATCGCACCATTTCAGGGGATTATTAGCTTGGCTGCTTTCCCGGCGAGCCGCTGCGGTGTTTTAATTAGGGAGGCAGGTACTGCAGCGAGAGCCCTGCGCCGGGGGGCCGCTCCAGCGTGCTGCTACGTCCCCATTTACACCCGCCTCGTGCTGAGCGCTGGCCGGGCGCACTCCCCTTCCCAGGATCTCATCCCGCCGGACCTCGGCGCGCCGGGAACGCAGGCAGCGGGGAGCTCATGCCGTCAGTGCCGATGCCCCCGCGCTCTTGGGCTCCTGCCCAGGGGCTCCTCACGGGAGCACGAGCCGATGCCCACGGGGTCCTGGCCGGGATGTGCTGGGCTCGGGGGCGGCCCGAGCAGCCTGGGCGAGCGTGGGGCCGCGCAGCGCGAGGCCCATGCGGGGCTGGGCGCGCGCCAGGGTCCCGCGCTCCTCCCCGCGAGCCGGGCGGGCGGCGTTACGTCGGCGGCAAGAATAGAAGCGGTGGGCAGATCTGGCCAGATGGCAGAAGGTGGAGAAATCGCGGAGCGTGCTGAATATTAACAGCTCCGGCCCCTCCGTCAGCGCCAGGGGAGGGGGACAGGGGAGCAGCTCCGTACCACCGGTGCCAGCGCATGGGCAGAGCCGTGTCCGTGGGACACCAGCCAGGGCTGAGGCGTCGCCAGCTCCAACCCGCGCGGGTGTTTTGGGACCATCAGGAGCTTCCTGGAGCCTCGGGGCTCCCGGGACCCATGGGTGCCCTGGCTCGTGCCGCAGCCCGGGTGGGCAGAGGGCTCCTTCACAGCCGGCGTGGAGAAGCCTTGCTGGGGCCGGGGGCTGCCGGGCTTCCAGAAGGCTCCTCTGCACCTTGCGGAGCCCCCAGCCCCCTCCCCTAATGAGAGGTGACGAGAGGAACGTGAATCAGACTCCACACATCTCAGCAAAACTGGAAAATTATTCAGCTCCTTAAGATTCAGGACGGGGAGGTCTGACTCAGAGCCGCAGCCAGCGCCGCTTAATTTTTTATAGATTAAAATGTATGCAAATTGGCCCAAACCCCAGAGAAAGTCCCTGGGGGTGAGAAGCAAGAAAGTGAAATAGCAACAGCCGCGGGAGGGGGCAGCGGGCGGGCGCAGGTGCCCCCTGGTCCCTGCCCATGCGCCCGGGCTGTGGCCAAGTAGCTCTCGGTGTCCTGCTCGGCCTCCGTGTGCCGCGACGGGAGCCCGTCGGAGAAATCCCATTGGATTCCTCCCAGTAGTTGCTGCGCTGGCATCCCGTGGCACCAGGAGATGCGGGAGGATACCTGGAGCAGAGAGAGTCCTGTGAGTGGCTATACAGGATCCAGCTAGGCTGGAAAACATCCCGTAATCCAAGGGGATGCTGAGGGGCAAGGGCAGCAGCACTGCACCGGGATCAGCGCCGGACGGGCGAGCGGAGCAGGAATAATCCCCCGAGGCAAATCAAAGGCGAGCAGGGGGCTCCCCTTGATGTTTTAATCAGTTTGGTGTCACCAGAGCCTTTCATCAAACTACAGAGGAAGGAGAAGTCAATTAGCAGCTACCTGCTCCGACACGGCCCAGGAGCCGCGTTCCCACCAGCCTGGATCGGGACGTGGCCGCGGGAGCCTCCCGGTGCTGCCCGGTGTCGGCGGGGAGGCCGTGGTGACACATCTGTCCCCAGCCAGCGCCCAGCCGCTCGCTACAGCTGGGAGCTCATGAATATTGAGCGCGTGGGGAGGTTATTCATCTTTCCCGTCCTGCAAAGCCTGGCTCACTCTCTAAAAAACAGCCCGGCCTTAGCATTTTTCTCATCTTCCCCTAATTCATTATCTCCTCCTTTAAACAGATGGCTCCCAAAATCCCATTTATAAAGTGCCACACTCAGCACTGGCAGGACGCACACCCGAGCGCTCCGGATCCCGTCCCGGCGGCAGGGATAGGGGCACATCCCACCACAAATCCCTGCTGTTGGGACACGCTGGAGCACCCAGCCTGGTGGGCACAGGACAGAGGGAAGAGCAACAAGTCTGGGGACCCTGACCCCCAGCCAGCACTTGGCTTCATGCCCACATAGTTTTCCTAGCAGAACCTTTCCATCTCCTGTGTTTCCTACGCTGATTTGAGGGGTAGCTCCTAAGCAGCAGGACTTGGGCAGCATCTGGGAGGACGGAGCAACCGGTCCCCAACGTCCCCTCCCGCCGGCTCCGCAGCCGGCTGCCAAGCGAAGGCACCAGGCTGGAGCAGCCCTGATTTATCCCGGTCCCCCGACTAATAAATGAGAGTGTTTGCTGCCGGCGGGAGCGCCGAGCCCCCGGACACGGTGTGAGTGATACCGCGGCGGCCCTCACGCCATAAAGCAGCGCACGGCTCCCGCCGGCGGAGGTGACTCGTGAGCCCCGGCACATCCGTCTCTCCCGGCTCCCCGCTGCGCTCCACCGGGCCGTGGCCGTGCCGGGGAGCGGGCTGAGCTGCCGGCCCCGGTGGCACCACGGGGTTGCCGGAGAATGGAGGTGGCGCCGGGCCGCCGCGGTGCCCGCCAGCTGGCACGTCCTGCTGGGCACGTTTTGCTCCCTGCTTTGCGCTCATTGGCCTCCCGCGGGCGTCACAGCTTGTGCCCGGTCTCAGCTCAGCGCTGCGCCACCTCCCCGTTGGGAAACACCTCGATGCGACAGCCTGCAAAACCCCACGCCACGGCCCTAGCCCGGAGCCCTGCAACACGAACGCTCCGCACGAAACTCCCGCGCACCCCGTCCACCCCCCTGCAGCTCCCGGGTCCGGTCGCAGCCCTGCACCGGCTCCCCCGGCAGCGCGGGGGCCGCAGGGTCCCCATCCCACGCTGCCGTCCCGGGGCGCCAGGCCGAGCACGGCCCCAGCAGAGCACAGCGCCTTTAATTAGCGGGGGAAACCAGTCACTAAGCCACATTACCAAGCTCCCAACTTCATTAGCACAGGAAGGCTGCACATAATTAAAATAATGAGTTTGCAATTTCACTGCAAACGGCTTTGGAAGAGCACCGCTGCAGCTGGGCAATTACCGCCCGCGTGCGGCGCGGGGTCCCGCGCGGCATCTGCAAGTGGGTCAGGGCTGCAAGACTCGCGTGGCCCCCGAGCCCTCCCCAAAAGGACTGTCCCCGGGTAGGTCCTGTCCTGTGTGTGGCCAGGGGGGACACCCCAATCTTGTGCACGGCCCGGGGAGCCCACAGCCCAGGCTGACGGGTCCCTCTTGCCAAAGCAGCCAGGCGTATCCTAGCTCCATATTTTGCTGGCCTTGGAGCCATGGAAAACAAAGCGAGTGCTGGGTGACAAGGCGAAGACGGCCGCCCTGGTGCCTGCTCCTCTGCCACAGCAACCTGGAGGCTGGGGCTGCTCTTCCGCACGGACACGGATGGGCAGCGTCCCCCATCCCACAGCGGGACACGGCCCTGGGAGGTGCTGGGTCTGTAGGTGCCCTGCACTCTCCCACTGCCTGGTCCTCCCCTCACCAGCACCACCTGGGCGGAGGCTTTAAACATCTCCAGTGAAGTGAGAACCTCATTCTCCCTAATGATGCTGTTGTGCGCTTAATGACGGTGATTAAATTCCCCTGCACAGCGTGTGCTGCAAACGGCGCAGGGTTTTGCTTAGAGGACACGGGGAGAAGGGAACGCGGTGCCGGGCGGCAGAGACGCGGCATCGCGAGCTCGAACACGGGTCCCGCACCCCAGAATGATCCCAACCACACACAGCCGTGCCCAGACAAGGGACGCAGACGGGCCCAGTGTCACCAGTAGGGGACAGGCTGGCAGGCGGTGGGGGGCTGTTTTGGCGGCCGGGTGCCGAGGGACTGGCAGGCAGCAGCCAGGCCTTGGAAGTTTCCCGGCTCCCGCTATCTCCGCAGCCTGGTGGAGCGGGGTCTTTCAAGCTCTGCCAGGGCCACCAGCTGCTCCGTGTGCCCCGGCCAGGACGTGGCCCCCAAAGCCCAGGCTCCACACGCAGCATTTAACTCCTTGCTCCTCAGCCGAGATGACTCCGCTTCCTCCAGCTTCAAGTTGGTCCTAGCAAGGACTTGGCCTGCGGCGAGGAAAGATGGAGCTGCAGACACTCCTGCCTCAGCTGCAGGGATTAATGGAGTCAGAACGGGGGTGTTCATGGCTGTTCCCAACCCGCTGCAGATGCAGGATGCCCATCCTGGCATCAAGGCTGCCATCCTGGGGCAAGTGGGACGGCTGGTGGAGGCAGAGCTGGGGCAGCAGCCCCACGGCCACGGAGTCTCCCGCGATCAGCGGAGCCGCTCGCACCGGCACCGAGCGGGGAGACAGAGGGATTAGCAGCTGCCAAGCCTGACAGGCGACTTTATTAACAAGGAATCAAAAGCCCAGCTGAGAGCCCAGCTGATCCGTCTGCTCCCGCCCGCGGCGGCGGCAGAGGAGGGGCCGCGCTCCCGGCACCGCCGCGGAGCCGGGTCCCCTCCTCGCGGAGGGCCGCGCTCCGAGCTCTCCCCACGCGCCGCCCTGCCCGCGCTCCCCCTCCACCACGAGTGACCCTGCGCCGAGTGACATCAGCCGCGGCGTGCGGAGCCAATGTGGAAGTGTCCGGATAGTGGCGGGATGCAGCTGCGCCGGCCCCGCCAGCTCAGCCGGCAGGGGCTCCGCGCTGCCCCCCGCGCCCCCCGCACTGCCCCCGCGCCGGGACGGGACGTGGGCGCCCAGCGTGCGCTGCACTGGAGCCAGCTGCTCCGCAGAGCGCCGCTTCTCCAGGAAGTGGATAACGACAGAGCTATTAACGGTAATTAACTAGGCCTCGCACCGGTCAATGCTGTAAGTGTGCTTTAAATTTCCAAGGCTGCACGCTGGGTACCTGCTCGGCGCTTCGGGAGGCGGCTGCCGTGACATGACGGCTACATCTTCATCTGCCAGGAGCCCCTCGGCGCTCCGCGCAGCCGCGAGCGGAGGACAGAGAGCCCTGGCCAGAGGGGACAGCGCCTGAGGGGTCCTGCTCCGTCCCCTCCAAGGGCTGCTGTCCCTGCTCCCAACCCGCTCCGCAGAGCGGTGCTGCAGGGGCACCCAGCAGCCCCCTGCGAGGGGGCAGACAGACAGTGCCAGCATGCTGGTCCTCTGAGTAGCAGAGGAAGGACGTGTCCCTTCTGCTGTCACTCCCTGGCAAGGCTGGGCCACAGCAGGACTATTTTACTAAGGGCAGCTGCGCTGTGCCGGCCCCGGGCACAGCTCTGCAGCGGCAAAGTGCAGCACACCGGTGCTTGCCCAGTATGGGGGCTCTCCAGTGTCCCCCAGGCAGCAGCTCCCACAGGCAGGAGGCTCCCAGGATGGGCTGGGGAGAGGGTGCAGCCCCAAGAGCCCTCACCCAGTGACACAGGTTCCCCCAGCACCCATATGCACAAGGGCAGAGCCAGCCTGTGGCCCCACTGTCCCACACAGGGGACCAACCACCCCTCCACCCTGGGGACAACAGCGTTCCAAACCCTGCGGGACAACACCCTGGGGACAACAGTGTCCCAAAGCGGCGGGCACTGCGAGAGATTCGTGTCACGTCGGAGGCGCGTGGGCTCCGACGGCTCCGGCACCTGGGTGAGAAGGGGCCACGGGGAGCCGCGGCCGAGCCGCGATTTCGCATTAGCGCCGCCTATGAATATTAATAGCAGGCTGAGCCAGGCGCTAACGAGGCCAGCAGCGGCCACCTGCCAATTCACACCTCACCTAAGGCAATTTAATGGGGGCACCGGCGCGCGGCTGGGGACATCAGGGACAGGGCTGGCAGCGGGGACCCTCCAGCCACTGTCCCGGGCTCGTCCCGCGCTCGGCACCGCGGCCAGGGCTCGGAGTCACCCCCAGCCAAGTGCCAAGTGGCTGGTGCTGCTGCAGCCCTGTGACAGCAACACTTTCCCGCAGCAGCTTCCCTGCTGTCCCTGGCACCGGGAGCGCTGGCACAGAGCAGGGAGGGCATCCCGGCTCCCCCCCCCACGCCCCTCACACGGAGGGCGACTCCGCCGGGGATCCCGAGGCCCCGGCAGCACCGCGGATGCCGGGAAGTGGGGCTTAAGGTTTCATTCAGATAAAAGAGCCCCTTAATCCGCTGCCTTTGAAGTCGGAGACATGAAAGCGGCTCCGCGCCAAAGCCGGAGAAGAGGCAGCCTCGCTTAAAGGGACAGGCCCACGTGGAGCTGCCCGCACCCCACATTCCTGTCCCCCCTCCGCCAGCTCCCACCTTTCCCTCTGCTCCCGAACCCAGCCCTACGGCAGGGACGCAGCCGCGGCTGACAAGGGCAGAGGCAGCGCGGCCGGGAGGGACGGATCCCCCGGTGGATCGGCTCGTGGCGGCGGGGAGGCCGAGCCTGCGTGCTGGGAAGACGGTCTCCTAATGAGGGCCGCGACCCCGCTGGCGGGCGAGCGCCGCGGTGCCATTAGCGCTAATTCACTGCGCGAAAACACGGAGGGGCCGGCGAGGGAGCAGCCGCGGCGGGAGGGAGGCTGCGGGCATGGCGGAGAGATCACGGGCAATTCCTGCACCTTTGGGGCCGCTTCTTTGCTCCAGCCTCACTTCCCGCCCCTGCAAAGCGGCAGGGACAATCAGGGAAGGAGCCGCAAGGAAGGGGCAGCGGGGGCTGCGGGAGGGGTCCCTGGCGAGAGAGGCACCTCCCGTGGGTGCGTGGAGCCTCGTGCACTTGTGGGGCTGCACGGTGAGGCGTCACCGCGGCCTCCGGCCTCCTGCAGCCTCCCCCTGGCTCGCTGAGCTGCCGCGCGCCGGCCCCGAGCTCGTGTCAGGAGGTTGTTAACATGCCCGCTCTCCGGCTCCATTGCCCAGGTGAGGGCCTGGGCACACCGAGAGCTTGTTGGCGGCTCCAGACAAAGCACCGAGGGCAGCGGAGCCAGGCGGCAAGAGCCTGCGCGGAGCTGCCTTCACCGGAGCCCTCCGCGACCCACGGCCTCCGCCCGGCCGCGTCTCCCCACACGCTCTGCGGGCGCTCGCGCTGCAGACCCCGCCGGCGCCCTACGGCTCTGCAGCCAGCCCGCGGGGCATCAGCTCAACACAGGGACCAGGAGGGGACAGCACGGGGACATGGCACAAGCTGAAAGGACCAACGGTCCCTGGCTGGTAGGTCTGAGATGTTGCAATGCACAGCGAGGCACCTGGAGCATGCACCAGCTCCAGGAGAGCCGCCCCATCCCAGGGTCCCATTCCCCTTCCCAAGGCCCCATTCCCCTTCTAGGGGAAGCCCCTGCCAAGCAGAGCAAGCCCAGATGATCCCCAGGGACAGACTGGGGACAAATCGCCTCGGCCAGGCCCAGGCAGGTGGGCAATGGTGCTCAGGGCCCTGCAGGAACAGAGCCCAACGAGGGCCACGTCCCCAGCGCGCGGGGAGAAGCCGGAATGGCAGCGAGGCAGCCGGCCTCCCTCTTACCGCTCGACGATGTCCGCGATGGTGCAGGCAAACATGAGGAGGCCTTCGGGCATCTGCAGGGCCACTGCAAGGAGAAAGAGCCCCGCGGTTAGACCGGACTGCCCGGGGCACGACGCTCCAGCGCCGGGAGCTCGGTGCCAGCAACGCGACGCGTGGCCAACAGCGACCGCAGCAACGACCCAACCAACTCGCCCGTCGCGAAGGAGCCTCGGCAGGGAACTCGCCCGCGGCCACCGGGAAGAGGCAGCTCGGGGTGAACGTCACGGGCCCGGCGGCGCGCGCTGCTCGGGCCGGATCCGTCCTGCGCGTCTGAGCCCATCCCGCGCGAACGCCTCTAATCCCTTTTTGAACCCATTGACACCCTTGGTCTCCACCGCTTCCTGCGGTAATGAGTTCCAGATTTTAATTATGTGCTGCACAGGAAAAGGTACTTTCTTCTGTTTATTTTAAACCTGCTCCTAATAATGTAAACGTGTGCCCCTAGTTCTCCTGCTACAAGAAAGAGTGAATAATCATCGCCTATTCAACCTCTCTGCATCATTCATAATTCTATATCCCTCTATCATATCCCCCTTCATTCGTCTCTTTTCCAGCTAAAGGATCTAAATCTATTTAATCTCTCATTGTACAGAAGCTGTTCCAACCCTTTGATCGTTCCTTGTTGCCCTTCTCTGCACCTCCCCTCGCTTCTCCTCTACCCGTGTTGAGCGGGTGGCCGGCCCCGCACAGAGCTTTGTGCGTAGCAGGGATTTATTCCTAGCGGAATGATGTTTCCCGTTTTGTTCTCTCCGAACGATTCGGAACAATCCCGTCGCCTCTGCGGCGCTCCCGCTCCAGGGGACCCAGCTGGGAGCCACCCGCGGGTTTTGGGTGCCCTCCAGCCTGTCCCAACCCCGGGGCGCTGGGTGGGCTGAGGGCAGTGATGGGTGAGCAGTGACCCAGGTGAGCAGCGGTGGGTACCACTAATCCTGCTGTCCTTTCACCTCCAGATCCTCCTAACACGTCCCAGCACCGGCCACGTTTACCCAAACATCCCTCTCCAAATCCCTTTCCAACTGAAATCCCCGTGCTGCCGTGCCAGCCCCCACGGCAAACACGGAGCTATTTAAAGACAGGGTCCAAATTGGGCTACATTCACCCTACTCCAACTCCCAAAGCCACACGCAGCCCCTGAGCCCGGCGTGACCTCACAGGAGAGTTCCGGGAGCGTTCCCGAAATGCACAGACACCAGGGAAGATGCCCTGAAATCAGGGAAGATGCCCTGCCCCCTTTTGGGGAAGCCCCCCGCGTTGCTCCCCGTGCCGAGGCTGCCCGCCAGCACGCGGTTCTGCCAACAGCTTCGCCTTCCCGGCGAGGCAGTGGGGAGCAGAAGGCGGCCGGGCGCTTCCCATGCCGGATCCCGGCACGGCCATCCCGAATGGCGCGCCGGGCGGGAAGGGCAGGGCTGGCGGCGAGCTCCCGGGAGCCGTGCGGGAGGCTGCGTTCCCCAGCAACGAGCCGCTGGCGGGGCTGCGCGCATGCAGATTTGAAATCCCAGCATGGCTGACTGGCTGATGGGCTCAGCTCCCAGCTCCAAAGCCTAAATCCCAACTGCATATTTACATTTAATTAGGAGGTGCCAAAGCAGCAAGCCGCGGTAACGGCAGCCGGAGCAGCACGGGCTGGGCAGCCTCCCTGCGGACCCTCCTCGAGCCGCATCCAGGTGATACCAGCCGGGATCCAGCGGCCTCCAGCATCCCGGCCCGGCCTCCCCGCTGGAGGCAGCGCCCTGCCCGCGGTCATGGAGGCGCCGGGTGGCGGGAGCATCGCCCGGTGCTTCCCCCCGTGACACCTGCCAGCCTCTGACAACTTGCCAAAGGCTCCGCGGCAGCTGGCGGAGACATTCCCGGCGGACGCGCCGTTTCCAAGCGTGGCTCTGCCCGGAGCCGCTGGCGCCGCGCGACCCGGTGAGATGCAGCGCGGCACGGCGAGCACCGCGGGCACCGATGGCACCTGGGCACGGCGGGGCAGCTCCGCGGCCCGCTCTGTCCCCTGGCCACCAAGCAGCCTGTGGCCGGACGGGTGCATGGACGGCCTCGGATCCTACACCTGCTCCGGAGGCTGCTCATCCAGCCGGGGCCAGGGCAGCCCCCTGGGGACACCCAGTTGAGGCTGGGGTGTGACGCAGGTCGGATGTTCCCGCTCTCCCCAAACACCCTGGGAAGCGGGTGAGGGTCCGTGGCCCCTGCGAGCCGCACGCCAGGGGCTGCCCCCCGTGCCAGGGGCTGCCCCCCGCGCCGGGGACTGCCCCCCGCGCCGGGGACTGCCCCCCACGCCGGGGACTGCCCCCCGCGCCGGGGACTGCCCCCCACGCCGGGGACTGCCCCCCGCGCCGGGGACTGCCCCCCGCGCCGCGCCGGCTCCGGCAGCGCCGCGCAGAACCAAGACAGAGCAGGAGCAGGAGGCGCCTGGCCGCCGTCCCAGACACATCTCCACAGGATGACAGGTCCGTGCGACTCAACCTGTCCTGTCCGATGTGATTACAGCCCTGAGTTACAGACATATCAGCTCCTCTCAAGAGCAGCTCCCCGAGACAGGTCCTAAAGAGCGGCGCGCAGCAGCCGCCCGGGCCTGACCGGCAGCTTGGCACCGGCAGCGCCATCCCCTGGGACACAGCTCCATGTGCACCTTCCCTGTGCCCGAGCGTGCCCGGAGCCCCAGCACTGCCCTGCACTCACCTCTCCTGGCCTGCGCCTGCCGGATCCTCCACACGGTCTTGGGGATCTCGAAGTTGTAGTTGCTGGGCAGCGCCTTGACGGCCTCCTGCAGCTCCGCGTCCTTCAGGATCTCCTCGGGAACCTGCCTGGCCGCGCGCCGCGCGGGGCCCCGGCCTGCGGGCACAGCCAGGCGCGTTACAGGGAGCGACGGGGCGGCAGCGCAGCCCACGTCCCGCCACCGCGGGCGCCACGGGGCAGCACCCAAGGGCGGGGGACAACGGGGTGCTCCTGGGGGACAACGGGGTGCTCCTGCTCCCCACTGTTGACACCAGGGATGGGTTGGGCAGCCGCAGGCCAGCCCAGGAGCAGAGCGGGGCCCAAAATCACAGGAATTTAATGAAAACCCAAGCGTGGCAGAGCCCAGCCGGGGCAGCGGCGGGATCCCGCGGGATCCCCGGGCCTGGCGGCCGCGTCCCGGTGCCGGGGCCCCCCACAAGCGGGCGCCCCCCCAGCGCGGCGCCAGCAGGAGCCTCCCCCGGGCGCGGAGTCACGGCGCGCGGCGGGGGAGTGACAGCAGCCGCATTATTCACCGTTCGCAGCCCGCCACGCGCCAGCCCGCGGCCCCGCCGCACGCGGACCCTCCGCGCGGCCCACGGTACCGGGCGGGGGGGCCCAGCTGGGCCGGGGCCCGCGGCGGCCGCCCCCGCGGCAGCCCCCGGAGCGGCGGCGCGTTGCGGCCGCGGCTCCCACCGGGCTCCCGGAGCCGCTGCTATTCCCGGCGCGCGCGGCTGCCCGGCCCCCGCGGCTCCGCTGAGTCACCGGGCCGAGCGGGACCGCTCGCCGCGCACCCCCGGACCGGCACCGGCACCGGCACCCGAGCCGCTTCTCCTCGGCGGGCGTCTGGCCCGAGGTTGGGCCGAGTGCGAGGACCGGCCCGGCTGGCCGGTGCTGGCGCCAGGACCCCCAGAGGATCCGGTTCCTGGGCTGGAGCCGGTACTGGCCCGGCTGGACGGTACCAGCCCGGCTGTCCAGCACGGAACGAGCCTCTCGGGCTCCCCAGCTCCTGACACCAGCAGCAAAGGCCTCGGGAAGATCCAACCCGCAGGTCGGGCCAAGCCCGGTACCATCGCGGGCCGTCAGAACCGGGCCGGGCCGCCGGTACCGGCCCAAGAAAGGGCCTCTCGGGGCTACAGTGCCCCCTGGCAGCCGGAGGCCAGGGAGGCGCGGCGCGGCGCGGCGCCCCGGCCCGGCCCGGTTCGGTTCGGCCCGGCCCATCCCGGCCCACCTGCGGCGACGGGGGCCGCGCTCCGGACCGGCCGCTCCGGGGCCGCCATGGCGACAGCCCCACGTGGAGGCCGGAAAGGCAGCGCTAGCCGAGCCCCGCGCGGGCGGCCGGAGCCTAGGCCAGAGCAGCCGCCCACCGAGAGATCGAGCCCGGGAGCGCGGGGCCGGGCCCCGACGGGACGGGCCGGCGCAGCGGGGTCCCGTGCGAGCCCCGCCAGTCTCGGGAGTCTCCTTCTCACACCCGCCGTGTCCCCGAGCTCTGCGGACGGCGGCCCCTGGCCGAGGCAGGGCAGCGCCCTGCAGAGGCGGTGCGAGAGTCCGGCCGTCGGGGCTGCCACCGGGGGACTGGTCGGATCCCCGCCGTCCCCTCGGTGCTCACCGCGGTGCCCCCAACCCCCCCAGCACCGGCGGTGCTGGGGGTCGGCTGTCCCGCTGGAGCAGCATCGAGGCGGTTGCCATGGTGAGGGCCGCCCCGTCCGGTTCGTGGACCGGGGAGATAAATCCCCTTCCTAGGGCGGAAGCCCCGTCCCTAGGCCCAGTAGGGCACCCCGAGGCAGCGGTGCCGGAGGGGGACAGTGCGGACATGAAGGCCCGAGGGAGGCATCGGGACCCCTCCCCGTAGGGGGGCTGGGGAGAAAAGGGACCCCCGAGGGGTAACAGGGACCCCAGGAATGTGACAAGGAGGCGACGGAGGCATCGGGGACCCCGGAGCGCATCGAAGAGACGAGGATCAGCGAGACCCCGAGGGGGCGGTGGAGACTGAAGAGATCGGGGCGGGGGGAGGCAGCGCAGCGCAGGGGAAGGACTGGGGGAGGGGACGGCAAAGGGCAGCGGGGGCCGCGGGGGGAAAGCAGCGTCCCCGGGGCGCCGGCAGGACGTCGCGGATCCCCGGTGAGGCGGAGGACAGCGGGAGGGGCTGGAGGGACCCCGCGGATGCGGGCGGGACGGCGCTGGCCTGGCAGGACCAAGCGGGGGCAGCAGAGCCCCCGATGGGGCGGCGGGCCCCGCGCTGGGACCCCGGCGGGGCGGCGCAGGGCCCCGGAGCAGCGGCACTTTCACGAACTGTCCACGGGAGGCGGGAGAGGCGGTGGCGGCGGCGGAGAAGGGGGGGCCCGGCCGGGCTCGCCCAGCCCAGCCCAGCCCAGCCCGGCCCTACCCAGCCCAGCCCGCCCCGTCGCTGCCCCGCCCCGCCCTGCCCAGCCCTGCCCGCCGCTGCAGGCTCCGCCGCACCGGCACCGGGCGCCCCTTTCTTTATAGGC